AAAGAACTAATTTTCTTCGACTCATTATTAGGTTGAAACAAAACCTAATAATGTGTCGAATAAAATTAGTTCTTTACAATCCAATACTTCGATTTATACAATCACACGCAACAAAAGTATTTTGATTTAATCACATGTTCAATTGTTCCAAAAACATAAATCAACACATTATTTTGTTTTCCACAGAGATATTACGTAAGTACAAGGTTTCTGATTGGCTAAGAGGGTTGTTTGGTAAACATAAGTACGAGGATCATTACTGGCTGAAAACTATGGCAACGTTAAATACATTAATTGTGCACTCTAATTTTAAAAAATGGATTTCGTTTTTTGTTATATTCGAATAATTTGACAAGAATAATTAAAAGTTTTTAACTTCTTGCATTTCTCAAACCTAACTCTTGTCCAAACCTAACTCTTGTTTAAACCTAACTCTTGTCCAAACCTAACTTTTGTCTAAACCTAACTCTTGCCCAAACCTAACTTTTGTCTAAACCTAACTCTTGCCCAAACCTAACTTTTGTCTAAACCTAAGTGTCCAAACCTAACTTTTGTCTAAACCTAACTCTTGTCCAAACCTAACTTTTGTCTAAACCTAACTCTTGTCCAAACCTAACTTTTTTCTAAACCTAACTCTTGCCCAAACCTAACTTTTGTCTAAACCTAACTCTTGTCCAAATCTAACTCTTGTCTAAACCTAACTCTTGTCCAAACCTAACTCTTGTCTAAACCTAACTCTTGTCTAAACCTAACTCTTGTCTAAATCTAACTCTTGTCCAAACCTAACTCTTGTCCAAACCTAACTCTTGTCCAAACCTAACTCTTGTCCAAATCTAACTCTTGTCCAAACCTAACTCTTGTCCAAACCTAACTCTTGTCCAAATCTAACTCTTGTCCAAACCTAACTCTCGTCCAAACCTAACTCTTGTCCAAATCTAACTCTTGTCCAAACCTAACTTTTGTCTAAACCTAACTCTTGTCTAAACTTAACTCTGGTCCAAACCTTAACAGCTCTGCATGGAGAATACATGAAATATTTTTGTTTTATTTCAGTACGTCAACCTAGCCTGGTTATTCTTCATATCGAAGTTGGTCGAGTTTTTAGACACGGTAGTATATATATCAATGATTACATTGTATATTACTGGTGCGTTCTGTAAAGACAATATTGGTATCTTGTTATTATATAGCTAGGCTATTTAGAAAGGATAATATGTTCCAGTTATTAATATTTAAAAAAAAATTACGCTTTCTCTATTTTGTTGCTATAGGTTAAAATTGTACAAAAAAAAGTAAAGTTAAAGGCTAGCGACAGCATCATTATGTTTTCCCGTTTATGTTCAAAACTCATGGGGAAGATGAAGTTAAGTTCATATGTTTTAATGACCTCGGCATATCAATGGAAAATATGATCAGCATTATGCCTAGCCGCCTTTATTTTTTCCTTAGGTACCCATCAGATCTGGGTTAACTCAGGGACGTTCTACTTACTTGAACCCGGTCGAATTCGAGACTTTCCAGATTGCAATCTAGCGCTCTACCGCTTCGCCACCCCGTCCCAGAGCCTCAGTCTATTGTTTCTCTGTTGTGTATTTAAAAAACTAAACGATTATTCCAGGTTTTCTTCATCGTCCGCAAGAAAAACAACCACGTGAGTTTTCTGCATGTGTACCACCACACCACCACGGCATTGTTTACATGGACGGGTCTCAAGTTTTTTACTGGGGGCAACAGTAAGTGCGGGCTCATCTATGGACGTAGTATTAAGTAGGGCAACAGTAAGTGGGGGCTCATCTATGGACGTAATATTATGTAATGAGGCATAGGATAATGACTGCTGCAATAGGCTCGGAATAATGGCCAGAGTAGTTAGGTTAATGGCCTCTGAAGTTAGGTTAAAGGTCAGTGAAGTTAGGGATAATGGCCACTGAAGTTAGGTTAAAGGTCAGTGAAGTTAGATTAAAGGCCAGTGAAGTTAGGTTAAAGGCCTCTGAAGTTAGGTTAAAGGTCAGTGAAATTAGGTTAAAGGCCAGTGAAGTTAGGTTAAAGGTCAGTGAAATTAGGTTAAAGGCCAGTGAAGTTAGGTTAAAGGTCAGTGAAGTTAGGTTAAAGGCCTCTGAAGTTAGGTTAAAGGTCAGTGAAATTAGGTTAAAGGCCAGTGAAGTTAGGTTAAAGGTCAGTGAAATTAGGTTAAAGGCCAGTGAAGTTAGGTTAAAGGTCAGTGAAGTTAGGTTAAAGGCCAGTGAAGTTAGGTTAAAAGCCAATGAAGTTAGGTTAAAGGCCAGTGAAGTTAGGTTAAAAGCCAGTGAAGTTAGGTTAAAGGCCTCTGAAGTTAGGTTAAAGGTCAGTGAAATTAGGTTAAAGGCCAGTGAAGTTAGGTTAAAGGTCAGTGAAATTAGGTTAAAGGCCAGTGAAGTTAGGTTAAAGGCCAGTGAAGTTAGGTTAAAGGCCAGTGAAGTTAGGTTAAAGGCCACTGAAGTTAGGTTAAAGGCCAGTGAAGTTAGGTTAAAAGCCAGTGAAAATAGGGATAATAGCCAGTGCAGTGGTTTAATGGTAATGGCCAGTGCATTATGTTTGGGATATGTGCCAGTAAACTAGTTTCGGGAATATAGCAAATCTTTTAGGTCAAATGTGATGCTGCTGTCTAGTCATTCACTCCAGCCTCCGTGGTAGCTTACAAAAGGCTCACATCACACATCACACAACACATCAACATCACTCTTATATCCTGTGTTTGGTTTGAAACAAAACAAAGTTTGAACCTCGAAGTTCGCACCTGTAAAACAGAGACGATATTATTTTCCAAACTCTTTTCTCTGAACAGCACAGCAATCATCTCACCCCTGTACACACACGTACATGGGTCACTGGTAAGGTCAACGCTTTTAACCATATTGTTATGTACACATGTGTCCATATTTGTTCACACTGATCCGAAGGTATAGTTTATGATAAGGTCGAAAGCCGTATTCACGTTGTCCTTTACACCTATTGTCATGTACACATTTTGTCATGTACACAGGTTGTCATGTACACATGTGTCCACCATCATTTTTGTAGATATAGTGTACACAGTGGTCAGTAATTTTATTCATGTCGTCATGTACACATGCAGTCCACATTTGTCCACAGATATAGTGTTTGGAGTGATCAACAGCAGAGATTCTTTACTAGTGTCCACCCCCCCCCGAAAAATGTTGACCGCCCCCCCCCCCGAAAATTTCAAATGCCCCCCCCCCCCCCGGAGAAAAAAGTCTGGAAGAAACACTGATCACCAGTTTTACACATTTGTCTTCGTTTGGCCACATTTGTCCACGTTTGGCCAAATTTGTCCAAGTTTGTCCACATTTGTCCACGTTTGGCCAAATTTGTCCATATTTGTGCACGTTTGTCCACATTGGTCCACGGTTGTCCACGTTTGTCCACGTTTGCCCACATTTGTCCACATTTGTCCATATTTGTCCACAGACATAGTGTATGGAGTTGTCAACAGTTTTATCCATGTCGTCATGTACACGTACTATGCCCTGGCAGCCTTTGGACCTGAGATGACGAAGTATCTCTGGTGGAAGAAATATCTCACCAGATTGCAAATTGTAAGTAATAATATCATTACAATAACTCACTAAAATATACACTGTAAGTCATAATATCATTAACAATACTTCACTAAGTTGCAAACTGTAAGTCGTGATATCATTACAATAACTCACTAAGTTGCAAATTGTAAGTCGTGATATTATTACAATAACTCACTAAGTTGCAAATTGTAAGTCATGATATCATTACAATACCTCACTGAGTTGAAAATTGTAAGTCATGATATCATTACAATACCTCACTGAGTTGCAAATTGTAAGTCATGATATCATTAACAATACCTCATCAACTTTAAAATTTAAGTCATGATATCATTTACAACACCTCAACAAATATATTCGTATTTTTACAATACCTAAACCGGGCATCGAATTAAAAGACGTAACAGATTTAAAACTAAACGCATTATATTTTTTTTGCCTATAAGTGCACAAAATACACACAGCTTAGTTTAAGGCATGAATTATATCTGAACACTAACAAAAACAATGTCAGTGAGTAAAAAAACAAACAACTTAAATTATCTTATCTTTGGTCCAGTGGTTTAAAAAATCTGGACAGTTACTCAAACTCACAGTTTTCTAGCTCGAATCCATTTGATGTCCCCGAGCCGACCCAGCTCTAATGAGTACCTGGCATGGAAAGTAACAGTGTCTGTTACTGACAACGCTATCCCTTCATATACCGAGTTCACAGATACCAGTAGTCTTCACTTAATTTTTCCCTATTTAACTCCGGGTCTAAACGGAGAATTTACTCTACTTACTGCTGCTACTGTTATAAATCTCGGTGACCGAAAAGATGCGCAACGGAAAACTGCGCACAATAAAAGTGATCAAGGTCACTTTTGTTTTTTTCAAATCGAGCATTTATTTATGTAACTAGGGGAAGTTACCAAGAGACATAACGTGTTACAGTCTGACGTCACAGTGCAGGTGTTGGCTGATGCCAAGGCGTAGTATCTCGGGAAGCGATACGAAAGACGGTCTGTCAACTTTGATGTGACAGGATGCAGGTGGCTTATTAAAATCGGACTGTACGACAGAAGCGGCGTAATTAACAGTCTGATGTAACGATTAGAATCGATTACAATTACGATTATGATAGGACCGAATATGAGTACGATTATGAAGGGGATATAAGGAAGGGGACGGCTGAGCTCGAGGTCTCTCTCGGTCAGAAGGTCTCAGAAGTCTCTCTCAGTCAGTCGGTCGGTCAGTCAGTCAGGCAGTCAGTCTCTCTCTCTCAGTGAGTCTGTGTGGCAGTATCAAGTTGGTTATATTGTGTTAAGAAGGACGTTAGACATGTGTATTCAGTTAGATGAAGCCTAGTGAGGACTGTTGGGGGTCCGTTGATTCAGACTATTATTGTGAAACATCTCTCTTGATTCATTATATTATTGTGAAGCATTCTTTGATTCATGTAATAAAAGGATCAATAATGAACCTGCATCTTCGAGTATCTATGCTGTGGTCAATGTTGTGTGGAATGAGTGGTTAGACTCGGGAAGGTCACATTTGGCGTTGTCGGCAGGGTAGCCAGAGACTCGTTACATTTGGCTCTGCGAGCAGGATAAGTCTCGTTACATTTGGCGTTGTCGGCAGGATAGACTCGGGGACTCGTTACATTATGGCGCTGCGGACAGGATGAATTCAACGAGACTTGCCGCTTTAGGCACCCATGGTCAACCTAGTTCATAACTGTGTTTAGTGTGTGTGTGAATTCGGATATTCAGGAACAGTGAAAATTGAGGAACGAGGAAAAATTTTTTCATACACACACGGTAAGAAAGAACTCTTTTTTTTACTAAAGGAATAAAATGTCTACTCTGGACGAGAAGCAGACCCATATTGTGGTCCTGCCCAGAGAGTCCCACATTAACAAATTTTACGGGGACGGTGATCCAGCTTTAACCAACAGGTTCAGTGAGGAGGTCGAAGCGGCCTGGGCCTCGAGACACATGTCACCAGAGGAAAGATTAAGACTGCTGATGGGCAGTATAGGAGAGACGGTTAGGGCAGAGGTCAAATGCCACGATAAAACCGTCCAATCAGATCCAGATAAGGTGTTGGATCTAATTATGGAGACCTTTGGGGAGAGACGGTCGGGATCGCAACTGCTAACGGGGTTCGTAGGCTTAAAGCAGAGAATGGCGGAGAGTGTGATGGAGTATTCACACCGAATAAACAGGGCCTTTGATTCGGTAAAGGGCAAAACACCTGACATTGATGTACGCCTACTGAGGGACCAGTTCATCGAGGGGCTAGCAACCCCGATCTTAAGGAGAGAGTTGAAAGAGGAGGTCCACAAAGACCCGCAGTTGACCTTCCTTCAGGTTAGGAACTCAGCGATCCGCAGGTCCGAGGATGAGGACCAATCGAACTGTTCGGTGGACAAAGTCTCTGTGCCGGAACAGAAACAATCCCCACCCACGGGGACCGGCACGGTGGAAACCATGATGGCTCAACTGTTGGCCCCTCCTGGATAAGGTTAACCAAAGATTGGAGAGGTTAGAAAGCAGGTCAACAGCTGAGAATCAGGAAAAGAACGGTACAAAACAGAGACAGGTTGGACGGCCGCGACCCGCCGGTCCATCACTCCGGTGGACGGCTGATGGTCGACCAATTTGTTTGTCCTGTTCACAACCCGGACATATGGCACGGTACTGCCAGGGAAACGGTCGTCCTCTGTAAGGCAGGGCCAGGCTACAGAGGGGCGAGGTTATGGCCCAAGAAGCAAAATGATGGGAGTCTGTCCCGAAATGTTGATTACGATTGGGGACATCGCGGTGAAGGCGATTGTGGATACAGACTCCCAGGTGACGACAATCACGGAAAATTTTTACACCAAATGGATGAAAGGAAAAGACCATAGGTTGAGGTCTGACACATGCATGCGCCTGACGGCAGCTAATGGACTAACCATTCCATACTGTGGTTATTTTCTGGCGGATGTCGTGGTGGCGGGACATAGGTTGAAGCAGGTTGGGGTGTTCGTTACGAAACACAACCTAGAGACAAATGTGTCAAATATACCTTGCCTGTTGGGCATGAATATTCTTGGCCAGTTGCCAGAATTTCTTACAAATATTGTCGGATCGACCACACCAGGTCGGGGATCCAAGTTGGCCAGGTTTGCCAAGACCAGAGGAAGGATATCAGTCCCGGCAAACACGGTCAAGGCAATCACATTACAAATTGGTGATAGAAGTGTGAATGGTGATGTGATGATAGAACCATGTGGCGCCGCACTGAGGGCAGGCGTCGTGTTACTGCGGACATACACATCAGCGGAAAATGGACTAGTTCAAGGATTAGTGGCAAATGTTTTGGATGAGGAAATTTTTATACCGCCTAATACTCTGGTAGGAGTACCACAGAACGTCGAGGTACTAAGGTCGGCACAGTGCATCGAACTGAGCAATACCAGCAGTAATGAAGTAACAGTTAGGTCGGTCAATGTGACGGCCGAGGTGAAGAAAGAGGATGGCCGATCATATACATTCCCGGAAACTGAGGACCCAAAACTAAATGAATTGTTGAATAAGTACAGGGATATATTTGCCTCGTACGAGGGTGATTTGGGTTACACGGAAGTAATAAAACACCAGATACCCTTACTACAAGACAAGCCGGTGGCGCAACCTTATCGAAGATTACCACCGAGTCACTACTCTGCGGTGAAGGCACACCTGAACGATCTACTAAAAAAGGGAATTATTACAACCAGCACGAGCCCGTATGCGGCACCGATAGTAGTGGTAAAAAAGAAGTCAGGGGAGATAAGACTGTGTTGTGATTACCGGAAATTGAACAATATCACAAGAAGGGATGCATTCCCCTTGCCTCGTATTGATGAATGTCTTGATGCGTTGGGGGGAGCAAGATTTTTTTCTACCTTGGATTTGGCTAGTGGCTACCACCAAGTGGCCATGCACCCCAACGATCAACATAAGACTGCATTTATTTCTCCACTGGGACTGTACGAGTGGACCCGTATGCCGTTTGGTCTAACTAATGCACCTGCTACATTCCAGCGAGTAATGCAGAGTGCTATGAGTGACTTTCTATTTCAAATAATGTTGGTGTACTTGGATGATATACTAGTTTATTCAAAAACTTGGGAGGACCATCTAGAAAGATTAGAACAAGTGTTTCTCCGTCTTAGGGAGATAGGAGTAAAGCTGAACCCAGACAAATGCTGCTTCGGTCTGAAATCGGTACATTTTTTGGGTTACGTGATTTCGTCGGATGGCATCGCCACTGACCCAGATAAAATTGCAGCTGTTAAAGAATGGAAACAGCCAACAACTACGGTAGAGGTCAGATCATTCTTGGGCTTTGCTTCCTATTATAGAAAATTTGTGCCTGGTTTTGCAAAAATTGCCGCACCATTGCATGACTTGGTAAACAAAATGACAAAGAAACACAGTAAGGAGAAAAAGAAAGGTAAAACACAACTGATAGGTGAATTATGGACTGAGGAATGCCTGAACTCGTTTAAGCTACTGAAAAAGGCTTTGACAGAGGCGCCGATATTAGGATACGCAGACTTTGACAAACCATTTCGGCTAGAAATTGACGCCAGCTCTAAAGGTCTGGGAGCTGTGCTATCACAACAACAAAAGCAAGGTTTCAGGGTTATTGCTTATGCCAGTCGAGCTCTGAAGGAATCAGAGAAGAACATGACAAATTACAGCGCCATGAAACTAGAACTTTTGACATTAAAATGGGCTGTGACGGAAAAATTCAGGGACTATCTATTAGGTGCTAAATGTGTGGTATACACTGACAATAACCCCTTGAGTCACCTAAAGACAGCAAAGTTGGGATCCATCGAACAGCGATGGGCAGCAGAATTGGCACTCTTTGACCTAGAGATAAAATATCGCCCGGGGCGGTCCAACGGCAATGCGGACGCCTTATCAAGGAATCCTTACGAGAGACCGGGCGATGAGGAAGAAACGCTGACAGGAATATGTGAGGTCAGAGCGTCAACAGATATCCCTCACGGGGTGCAAGTGAGGCAGAACGGACAGACCGGGGTGGAGCACATTTCCACAGAGCCCGGACATATGGACATTGGTGATTTTAGTTGCCTTAATCACAAAGAGATAAGAGATGCCCAGAGAACGGATAGTGGCTTACAGCCGCTGTTGAAACACGTCCAGGAACAAAAATTCCCAGGAAGAAGGGAAAGAGAACAATTTGGTCGAGAAACAAAGAAAATATTGAGTCAGTGGGACCGTCTCAGTATAAAGGATGGTGTTCTCATGCGGAGAATTCATGACCAAATTGATGGGACAATACACCAGGTGGTGGTGCCTGGACAATTACGAGAAGAAGTGCTAAGGTTGGCACATGACAGGGCAGGACACCAGGGTCAGGACAGGACGCACAAAATATTACGACGAAGGTGTTACTGGCCCAATATGGAAATGGAGGTCAAACGCCATTGTGAGGCTTGTGTGAGGTGTCAGCATGCGAAAATGCCAGTTGTCAAAATGAGACAGCCATCGGGACACCTATTAGCGACAAAACCACTAGAGATTGTGGCTATGGACTTTACGTCGTTGGAGCAATCATCGGATGGGACGGAACATGTGTTGGTAATGACTGATGTTTTCACCAAATGGACTGTGGCGGTGCCCACACGAGATCAGACTGCCAAAACAGTGGCAAAGGTCTTAATAGAACATTGGTTCATCAAATATGGCATACCAAGACAATTACACTCTGACCAAGGAAGGGCCTTTGAGTCAGAAGTAATTAACCAACTGTGCAGCCACTACGGGATCAACAAATCTAGAACAACCACATTTAATCCGAAAGGAAACGGACAGTGCGAGCGGTTCAACCGCAGCATGCATGATTTGCTGCGTACTCTAGAACCTGAACAGAAAAAACGTTGGCCTGATTTTCTCCCAGAGTTGGTATATCTATACAACTGCACACCCCATGCCACAACCGGCTTTTCGCCATACATGTTGCTGTTCGGACGGGAGGCTCGACTCCCCCTTGACTTGTTCCTAGGAAAAAAGGAGAGTATGACTGGCTCATACACTGTACTGGAATATGTGAATGAACATATGAGACGAATTAGAGAAATGTACAGGGTAGTACAGGAAAGACTAGAACATGAAGCACGGCGAAGGGAACCGCCGGTACAGACAAAGGACCCGCCACTCAAACTGAACGACAGGGTATTACTGCGTAGCCACCCGTTAGGCAGAAACAAAATCCACGATCTCTGGGGACAGGAGATATGGCAAGTCGTGGAGATGCCTAAAGTAGCAGGTGGCCCCTTTAAGATAAGACCCATCGATCACACCAAACCGGATCGGTGGGCGAATATTGCTCAATTAAAGAAATATTGTCATAGTCAAGGAGAGCAGTTACACACAAGGAAACCCAAGACAATTAGGGAACCGGAAACTATAACGGAAATTCTCATACCCATCCCGGAACCATGTCACCATCAACAGAGCAACAGCGATACACAAGGGGAGGATACCGGCAACAAGGAGGATCCCGGTCCCTCCAAAAGCAGAGAGACAGTAGACCATCAGATAAGTGGTCCGCGGAGAAGTTTGAGAAACAGAAAGAATACGAAATTTTTTGTCAGCAACCATCAATTCTTTCATGGTCGCGCTGGTATGAAAACAGACTGTTCAAAAAGTCATAAAAGTGAACTGGTGAAGGCACCAAACGAAAAAAGGTGGATGTGAATTCTAGAACTGTTTTGTGTCTGAGGAAGATGATGTAGACACATTGGATATGTGAAATAGGGATAACTGTCAATCTTATACGAATGTGACGACATTGACAGTGAGTGGAACAATGGATTTTTTTTACGGTGGTGCGATGGACTTTGAAGGACTGCACCTGCCAAGCGTTGTTTGTGGTTGATAACACACAAAAAAAGGCAGGGGTGGATGTAACTAGGGGAAGTTACCAAGAGACATAACGTGTTACAGTCTGACGTCACAGTGCAGGTGTTGGCTGATGCCAAGGCGTAGTATCTCGGGAAGCGATACGAAAGACGGTCTGTCAACTTTGATGTGACAGGATGCAGGTGGCTTATTAAAATCGGACTGTACGACAGAAGCGGCGTAATTAACAGTCTGATGTAACGATTAGAATCGATTACAATTACGATTATGATAGGACCGAATATGAGTACGATTATGAAGGGGATATAAGGAAGGGGACGGCTGAGCTCGAGGTCTCTCTCGGTCAGAAGGTCTCAGAAGTCTCTCTCAGTCAGTCGGTCGGTCAGTCAGTCAGGCAGTCAGTCTCTCTCTCTCAGTGAGTCTGTGTGGCAGTATCAAGTTGGTTATATTGTGTTAAGAAGGACGTTAGACATGTGTATTCAGTTAGATGAAGCCTAGTGAGGACTGTTGGGGGTCCGTTGATTCAGACTATTATTGTGAAACATCTCTCTTGATTCATTATATTATTGTGAAGCATTCTTTGATTCATGTAATAAAAGGATCAATAATGAACCTGCATCTTCGAGTATCTATGCTGTGGTCAATGTTGTGTGGAATGAGTGGTTAGACTCGGGAAGGTCACATTTGGCGTTGTCGGCAGGGTAGCCAGAGACTCGTTACATTTGGCTCTGCGAGCAGGATAAGTCTCGTTACATTTGGCGTTGTCGGCAGGATAGACTCGGGGACTCGTTACATTTATTTATTTAAAGTGTGGCTACATGTACATTGTAGTATCATAATAAAACATATTTCCACGAAATTCGACACAATTTAAGTGTATTATTTTATTTAGTTTGTATTTGCGCATTTTCTGTTATGCGCAGTTTTTCATTATGCAGTTTACCAGTTGCGCTTTTTTTCGGTGAACCATAAATCTCAAAAGACTAACTATTTACACAACCCCTCAGACTAATCCCCCACTCAAACCCTCCACCCCAACCACTCATACCAACCATCCACACAACCCCTCACACCAACCATCCACACAAACCCTCACACCAGCCATCCACCCCAACACTCACACCGACCATCCACACAACCCCTCACACCGACCATCCACACAAACCCTCACACCAGCCATCCACCCCAACACTCACACCGACCATCCACACAAACCCTCACACCAGCCATCCACCCCAACACTCACACCGACCATCCACACAACCCCTCACACCAACCATCCACACAAACCCTCACACCAGCCATCCACCCCAACACTCACACCAACCATCCATACAACCCCTCACACTGACCGTTCACTCGAAAACCACCACCCTAACCACTACAACCACTCCCACTAACCTTCCACACATCCCATCACACTAAACCCCCACACAACCCCTTACATTAACAGTCGCACAACCCCTCACATTAACCCCCCCACACAACCCCTCACACTAACCCCCACACAACCTCACACACTAATCATCCACTCCACCACTCACACTAACCCCCCACCCAACGTTGACAGAGCCAGTTTATGATCTTCATCACCTACGGTCTCTGGAACGAAATCTACGGCTGCCCGTTCTCCAAGACTTTCGTCTACCTGACCTTCGTCCACATCTTCATCATTCTCCTGCTGTTCATCAACTTCTACGTGCAGTGCTACAACCGCGCACAGGTCAAGGCTAGAGCCAAGGTCAACGGCCGCTATTTGCGCGCTGAAGAGCTGAGCAACGTGGGAGATGCAGTAAAAAAATTAAACTGATTCATAAGTTGTGTTTTCTTTTTGTGCTTTTCGATTCAATAAATATAATTTTTTTAAAGTATTTATAACTTTAAAAAAACAAACAGATGTATTACATGTGACAGATGATGTTATGTGATGGCTTACATATGAAAATATGTGCAACCGGCGCGTTAAAAAAAAACAACTTAAATATTCCTGGTATTGCATTGGTCAACAGAAAATAATAGAATAGCTCGATAACGTATTTATAATTGATGAATTTTATCTGGCAGGCAGAAGCTTGCCATTCCAGGGTGACCATTTGTTAAGACAATATTGGATAGGTTGACTCTTTTATTTTGTACTCCTGACGTATGCTAATTTTTATACCTTGAAAATGATTTATTTCTATTGTTATTATCACAATTATTATTGATATTATTATTATTATTACTGTTATTATTATCATTAATTATTATCATTATCATTATTATTATTATTACTGTTATTATTATTATTATTATTATTATTATTATTATTATATTTATCATTAATTATAATTGTTATTGTTGTCATTAAATAAAAGACAGACAATTAAATCCAGTAGATAATGCAATAGTTTGTGTTCCTTAGTGTCTACAATTTCCTTAATTATAGTTAAAAACGAAGAAGATCCTCCCCCCCCCCCAGCGCAAGTTTGGCCGGCAGAAGATGCAAAACGCAATGACCTTATTAGGCTTTAAAAACTACAAGAAAAACTAGGTAATTGCAGCGTTATACGCATGCGTGATTTCCTTCCGGCTAGAATCGCCTTGAATTATATCACTGAAGATTTGTAGTTGCAAGTTGAAGTCTTTAATGTAAGGGAACTAACTCTAGATAAATACAAGCTTTGTGTTTGGAGATGTCAACATAACTATACTAGAAGTATCAAGCATCAGCATCAAGATGATAAAAAACTGAAACATACCGTCACACAATTTTAACTCAAAATTTTCTTCGTCTCATACAATAATGGAACCTCTTCAAGCAATATATCATCAATTTCTACGAGTACATTTATATTTTCTTTATTGTATGTTAGTTGACCAGTGGCTAATACAGTAGGTTTGGGATAATGGCCAGTGGACAGTGCAGTATATTCAGGATACTGACAAGTGGACAGTACTGTAGGTTTGGGATAATGGCCAGTGGACAGTGCAGTATATTCAGGATAATTACAAGTGGACAGTACAGTTCATTTGGGATAATGGCCAGTGGACCGTGCAGTAAATTCAGGATAATGACAAGTGGACAGTACAGTAGGTTCAGGATAATGACCAGTGGACATTACAGTAGGTTCAGGATAATGACAAGTGGACAATACAGAAGGTTCATGATAATAACAAGTGGACAGTACTGTAGGTTTGGGATAATGGCCAGTGAACAGTGCAGTATATTCAGGATAATGACAAGTGGACAGTACAGTAGGTTTGGGATAATGACCAGTGGACATTACAGTATATTCAGGATAATGACAAGTGGACAGTACTGTAGGTTTGGGAAACTAACCAATGGCCGGTGTATAACTTTTGGGGTAATGGCCAGTGGAACGTGCAGTAGGTTAAGAATATTGGCAAGTGGCCAGTACAGAATATATGGGAATCAAAACAAAATTATGTGATTTTATCCAGAACCAAATCTCACACAGTTATTAACCCTAGGCGGTCTAACACTGGCCATCAAGGACCTATTTAGACCTATAAGACAGACGAAGCAGAGTACTTCTATTTCTTTATAACAGCATATGTATTTTCCATTTTCTCATATAGTGCCTTTGATCTAATGGTGACATACCATTTACGCTTTTCTTTAGAGTAATTTAAATAGTAGTGTATAATTTATTTTCTACTTTTTAGTGCATCATTACATAAAAGCTTGTTATTAAAACGTTTTTTATGAATTTTTTTTCAGTACTTTACATGTTTTATTTACAATAGTGTTACATGACTAAAAACCATTGCGCGCCTACTGAACGTGATGGCGCAGCTATTAAACCTGATGGCGCAGCTATTGAAAGTGATGACGCGTTTCGATCTAGACCAGGGGTCGGCAACCTTTTGAAGCGGAAGAGCCAAAAGTTACAATTTTCACAATTGTCCTGGTTTTAAAGAGCCACTAACATTTTTTTTATTTCAAATAATTTTTTTTTATTAAGATTATTAGTATTTGTTCAAGGTGCTGGAGAGCCGCATGCGGCTCGCGAGCCGCAGGTTGCCGACCCCTGATCTAGACTGACGACAGACTGTCGACTGACGACATACAGAGGAAGTGAGTTAAATAAAAGATTGTAATAAACAGGAAAAATAAAGCACAAACACATAGATAAAAAATTACATGACTTCTAACAAATCCATTTACGTAATTTTACTGTCTATGTGTTTTTAATACAGCTGGTTTTTACAGTTTCTTTTAAGTAAAAAAATCATTTTATAGCTCTTGTGAATATGCCATTTTATTTGCATTTAAATAATATTATTGTTTATTATCTCTCTTTTGAATGTACTAATAAACTAATGTATTTGCTTTGTTTATTCAGATTTTGCAATTAGTTTTCTAGATTAACTCCCTTAATTTAGTTTTAAAGAATGTTGAAATCAAATGTTCTGCTATTTGTAATTTAATGAATTTTCCTTTTGTTAACCTTACCGTCCGACTGAACATATTTTATTTGTATCCAACAAAAACATTTATTTCTGAATTAGAATTGTAAACACAATATAATTATATCTAGTTAATATTAAAATCTGACCTGATGTCGATAACATGGTGAGGTACTACATATAGCCCTGACTCAATGTCGACAACATGAATAGATGATACATTTATATCATGCGCTACGCTTGTATAAGTATATTGTTTGTAATGTATCTTAAACTTTTTTTTACAGCAACATTAAAGCATAATAATATTTAGTATTCCAATATGTAATATATGCACATATTAAAGAATTCAAACTTTACTACCAAGACCATTATGCTTTATGAATAATGGACGGAGTGGTCTAACGGTAGAGAGCTGAACTGTTAACCCGTAAGACTTGAGTTCGAATCCGGGTTCGTCAGTAGACCGTCCAACTCTGATGTGTACCTAACTCACTTTGGATACTTCTTCGGGTGGTCAGTTCAGCTTGGTTTGTGCATGTTGCTTATTGTGAGATACCAACTTTATCCTATACGGATTACAAAAGCTGTATTGAAAAAGTGGGTAAAAAAAAAAAAGAATTTGACGTTTTGAAACCTGCCGGAACCGGAAATATTTTTTTTTCATTCCTGTCAGAAATAAAACAATAACAACAATTAAAACAATAAAAACCCTCGTAAGAGCTTTGTATCCTCATCTAAAATATCTTTTATACTATTTTATTTAACTCTGTACGTTTAGACGTAGACTTTTGGTAGGTACGTTCCGTTATTTTTCTAAAAATTCTTTTCTTTATCTGCTTTGTAATTCTAAAACGCCGAGCAAAGTCTCATGTCTAATAACAGTGGTACACTAAGTTACTCATCGGTGAAATAATCTTAGCTTATAGTTATAAGAGAAGGCTTTGTCTAGTCCGTAGATTTATCACCCCGCCCCCCCCCCCCCCACCAATTTTAATTGGATCACGTTGGCGACCGGCCCCAAGGCGGAATTAGCCATAAAAAATCACTTGAATATTCACCTCAATGTACTACAGGGGCGTACGCATGGGGTGTTAGAGGAGACTTAAAACACCCCCCACCCCAATTCTTCCGTTGGCGCCCCTTAATGAGAATTGCGTTTCACGTTAAATTTAATTTACAGCTAATTATGGTTTTGCGCTACTCTCGCTATATGTTTACAATTTAAAGTTTTTGATATCATATCACTAACAAACTATTTTGTTATATATATATATATATATATACATATATATATATATATATATATATATATATATATATATATATATATATATATATATATATATATACATTAATAAATATATATATATATATATATATATATATATATATATATATATATATATATATATATATATATATATATATATATATATATATATATACATTTTTTTTTCAACTTCCCAATCTCCCCCTTATCTATTACTGCCTACGCCTATGCCTCCCAATACGACATGCATAGCCGTTCGCTTCGGTAAACATCTTTATTACCCTCATTAAAAGCTCATAATCGGTGGGCAATTATTTTTTAGATTATGGGGATTAGGACAGTAGCTGATTTGACTGCTGGTGACTTCATGTTTTATGCAAAGACCATGATACGGTTTAGCATAATCGCGATAATTTAAGAAAGTTAAAGTTACAAACCTTTGTTTCTCTCCCCTTGCAATTGCAGTAGTAGTTTAACTTTAAATCGGGTACGACTTATATATATATATATATATATATATATATATATATATATATATATATATATATATATATATATATACATATATATATACAAAATCTTTATTGTTAGGTACATGTGTAAATATTAATGTATTAATGTATAAAACATATATATATATATATATATATATATATATATATATATATATATATATATATATATATATATATATGTATATATAGATCTTAATCTGTGGAGATGGCATTGTTTGAGAGTTTGATAGCCCTCTACAACGAAGCATACGAGAGCAGAGGTAAGACCGACTTAATCTATATGTATGATATATGTATGATATATGTATGATATATGTATGATATATGTATGATATATGTATGATATATGTATGATATATGTATGGTATATATAAAGCAAAGTGCTCGGGCGCTAGATAGGGCACTTCCCGGTGCCGCAGGTGCTTCAAATTTGTTAGGCTCCTGCTTTGGGGCAATAGAACACGTGGGCCGGTGCCGGTTGGCCGCAAGGTCCACCATGAAGGGGTAAAAACTGACCTCGACTGACAGGCGCCGTATATGAGCTATATATTGAAAAAAATATTTGCCGAACGACCCCCCCCCCCCCCCCCACCCTTGCCCGTTTGGGAAATCTGTCGGTTTGACTCAAACCCCTCGACGAGGGCTAAAAGATGACCGCGAGTGAAATTTTCCTTATTTTAGTCTACTTCTTAGGCCATTTTGTTTTCTCCATTTAATTACTATATATGCATTTAATGTTCACATTTTTGATGCTATGTAAAACCATCAAATACATTATTATTAATATTTTAAATGTTTAAAACAATTGAATTAATTAAAAAAACAACAAAAAAAAAAACGACTAAGCACTCCACATAACAATTAACAGCCACTCACCAATGTATTAATCTTTCGAATTCTCAAAAGTCTTTAGAAAACCTAAGCGAAGCTAGGCACTATACCTAGTCTTTATATATATAAAGCAAAGTGGTGGGGTGCCCGATAAGTCACTTCCCGACGCCGCAAGCGCTTGAAATTTGGCAGGCTCCTGCTTTGGGGCGATAGAACACGGACGCCGGTGCCGGTTGGGTCAAAACTGACCTCGACTGACCGGCACCTTATATGAGCTATATATCGAATAACAATTCCGACGTAGGAACCTCTTCATAACTCCTGAGGTCGTAGACCGACCCTCGGGGGTGGCAAAAAAATAAAACAATGATATATTCGAGAAAATTCCTGAACGGCTTTAGAACTGACCGGTCCGAATTCCCTATATAAAATTGTTAATTTGGTGAAAAACGATGACTATTTGCAAAACAAAGTTTTGGAACTTAGGCTCTGTACATCTGGCTCATATTTTTCCATAAACCTGGGTAAATTAATCGGCCTTATGGATAAACTATCGGTCAGCCCCTGCTGGTCGTTAGATTTGTCTAGAAGCCATAATTTCTTATATAAGCATAGCAACTGTTTCTTAAAAGAAACCGGGAGTGATCTCCCCTAAACTTTCTCGAATATTCTAATATAACACTACCGGGGATGACAACTCGGAATATAGACAAGATTTTTAATTACTTATAATTTTAAAAATAGAATAGTATCTTGTAGGATAAAAGAATTGCGCACCAAGTGAACTCCAAACAATATGTGTATAATAGTACGCAATATTATTAATACTTTATAAATACACACGCGCGTTTTGAGAAATCGGAAATAGCGTAAATAACTACCTCCATTCAACGGAAATTTGAAAGAAGGCAGAATAGTAGATCTTTCACTTATATGTGAAATTTCGTACATCTATCTAAAACATTACTCAAGTTATAGGCTTTTAAAAAATTGAAAGTGGAATTCGTTTCACTTCCTGTTACCGGATATCGCTGAAAAGCTGAAACAGAACTATAAATTTTATATCATACTTATATATGAAATTTCATCAACCTAGCTGTAACGCTACTCAAGTTATCGTGTTCACAGACACACACACACATACACAGACACACAGACACACAGACACACACACACAGACACACACACGCACAGACATACGGACAAGATTGCAAAACTATGTTTTTTCCAACTCAGGGAGAAGTAAAACGTCGAGATTTGCAAATATCCCAATTTTTTTTGCACGATTATAATACTTTCTACTTACTTCGCATACGAGAAAGTAAAAAAAGTTGTTTAGCATTTAATTTAAAAAAAAATCCTTTTAAAACGCAATTACCATTCAACCTAGTTCAATCCTATTCACATTTAAATGGCTTCTACATCGACATATGTATTTGACCACTTCGATATCTATTTATCTGGAAATGTATCTTCCCCAGAGCGTCTCTGCGATGGCTACCCACTACTAGACTCCCCTGCTGGGGTCCTGACTATCGTTGCCGTTTACCTATTGGTGGTATGGAAGGGGCCACAACTCATGCAGCAGCGCAAGCCGCTAGATTTGAAATGGATAATTATAGTTTACAACATCACCATGGTCTTTATATCAGCGTTCATTTGTTTTGGGGTGAGTTGTTCATATTTTATTTAGTTTTTGGGGTGAGATGTTTACTTTTACTTTTGTTTTTGTCATTGACGGGGAGGGGGGGGGGGATTTACCCCCAAATGTAACATGACATAAAACTCAACAGGCCAATGCTAAAGATAGAGAAATGGAATAGGAGGAGTTTAAGGATAAGGGTATGATTTTGGAATTTTCGCGGGGTGGGGAGAGGGAGGGGGGAACTAAAATTCGGGGGGGGGGGGGGGGACACTGTTAAAAGTATATATTTTCTATATACATTCCATTTCGTTCGGGGAGGGGGGGGGGGCGTAACGAACCGTGTTATCGATGAAGGTTAGGTCAAGTGGAAGCTAAATTTTAGAATCAATTTAAAGGGTATTTATTGCTTCTTTGAGCGTCGTTCTGTTCGTTGCTGCTTAAATGTTACAATTTAATTACACAACCTTCTTTCAATGCGCATTTTAATTTAGACTAGTCTATAAATAACTGAAGCCGATAACTGCTTTAATCTATAAATTGTAAATTCTTAAAATTAATTTCTAGCTTTATAAAATCCTAAGAACAGCTTTCTGCGACACATAGTAAAGCTTCGCATGTGGTTTTAGTCTCGCCTGGAATCTAAAATAATGTTCTCTGATATAATGCTATTCTTATATTTTAGTTTTTGCAAATTCAAACTGTAAAAAATGGCATTAGTGTTCATCGTCTCTGAGCAGTGATGTCACCCCCCCCCCCCCCCAGAGGCGTAGCGGCACTTCCCCCTCAAACTTCCGATTTGAACCCCCCCCCAAACATTCGATTTGCACCCCCTCAAACTTTTGATTTGCCCCCCCCCCCCCCCCAAACTTTCGATTTGCACCTCTTAAAAGACTATTTAACACTCGAATTAATCACTTAATTATGTGGAATTATCATTTTTTTCTCTATATATTTTGCTATTTTTTTTTGCCCTGGTGTCACCCCCCCCCCTAAATGGTGTCACCCGGTGCGGTCCGCACCCCCGCCCCTCCTCGCTACGCCACTTATGTAACTTCCCCCCCCCCCCCCCCACTCATCATATACAGCAGATGGAGTAGGGTGCATCTGTGAATGTAACCGGGACACATCAAGTCACACTGAGATCCAGCTTCTATAATATATTCGGGCCTAAAAAAAACCAAAACCCTAATCCTGTTTCACCATAATAGTTTACAACATAACACCAACATATGCGGTTACAAATGATGTCACAAAATATATTTTAATTTTTTTTTTACCAAATACAAAAGTACTGATATTTTTATAATAAATCTTCATGCTCAAAATGAATTTATTTTTTGCATGACTTCCAATTACAATCAGTTTCTGAACCCATAACTTTCCTAAGTACAAAAATACAGAGTAACAATTTTAGGTTTTGTGGTGCTTCGTCCTTCTTTTTTGTTGTTTGCTGTCGTTAGGGTTGTCAGGTGTCCAGTTTTGAACTGGACAGTCCAGTATTTGAGCAGACTGTCCAGGATAAAATAAATATAAATACTGGACAAGTATATGAATAATACTCTGTTACCCCCCTTCTTCTGCTTTGCGGCATACCTGAGAAGGGAAGGATGGAAAGGTGTCCAGTATTTCCGGAAAAGGTATCTGGCAACCATAGCTGTCGTTGAATAAAACGGACTTAATGACAGACATTCACAAGAATTCGAAAACAAGCGATTAATGTAAACAAACTTTTGATACCAACAAACTTTGATAACTATGGACTTTGAAATATTGGACGGATACTAAAATTTAACATTTAACTCAGGGTATCTACGCACTCGTGAGCATTGGTGACCTAAAAGTGTTCTGTGAGGGTTCCAACAACACCTTCAATTTTGACGTCGAGAAGAGGGTGAGTGACTACTTCAAATTTATCTGGCTTCTTTTGCGCTCTATGTTAATGTTTACATTGTCAAATAAAAAAAAAATCAATAAGCAAATCGACATAATTTTCTGTAATTAAAAACGCAACGCAATTTTAAAACTGATATATATATATATATATATATATATATATATATATATATATATATATATATATATATATATATATATATATATATATATATATATTGTGCCTTATTATTATTTTGAAGCAAGGTTTATGTCTAATGTTGCTGTGTTTAACTATATCATGTTTATTCAACCATCTGTTTACTTGATTTATAACATCATCGTGTCCTGTTTTCCTCAGAGCTATTACGTAAGTACACGTGTTCTGATTGGCTCAGATGTTTGGTGAACGTAAGTACGTGGATTATCATTTGCTGAAAACCACGAATACATTTTTGTTGACACTTAAATTATAATTTAAAAAAAGGTTTGGATTTAGTTTTTGTTCTGTTGGAATATTCCAGTAGGAATAATTACATTTTCTTCTGGCATCGCTACTAGTTCACTGGATTAGAGCTGTAGCGATCCTTCCCGGTGCCCGGGGACAATCTTTCAATTTGCCCCCCCCACCCCCCATATATTAGTGTATTTATAATTCAAAACTGCAGCTAAAATGAGATTTTAATTTTTTTTCCAACCCATTTTGGCGCCCCCTTCGGTCGGGGCCGTATGTACTCCCCCCCCTTTGCTACGTCTCTGCACTGGATTCTTAACTAACACAAGGCTCTAAGCCTAACAATGTGCCTCAGCCTTGTCTAAACCGCCCTCCGCCAGAAACAAATGCCTGAAAGAAAATCTGAACAGCTCTTCTGGAGAACAGGGCTGGTAAGTAGGTCACCAACCAGTTCTACAGCTCAATAAAACCTGCATGAGCCATAGAACTGGTCGGTGACCTACTAACCAGCCCTATACACGAGGCATTTTAAATTTATTTTCAGTACGTCAACCTGGGGTGGCTCTTCTTCATATGCAAGCTAGCCGAGTTCCTCGACACGGTACGTCCATCTGCTCTATATGAATGTTCACATTGTTCTTTACATCTACCCTCGCTAAAAAACGACGTTGTTATAACTGTATAGCTAAGTTATATGTAAAATTTGATATCCGTCTTTCAATATTTTAATATATATATATATATATATATATATATATATATATATATATATATATATATATATATATATATATATATATATATATATATATATATATATATATATATATATATATATGTATGTATATATATATATATATATATATATATATATATATATATATATATATATATAGTATATCATATATTTATATATATACATGTATATATATATGTATATATATATGTATATATATTTAGGAAAAATAAATAAATGAGGGTTTTTATAATTTAAAATATTTTGGA